GTGTTTATCAGCTATATTATAGCATGTGAAAATTATTATATAGATAGATAACATTTTAGCTGTTTTGTGTTTGCAGTTAGCGAGGCTGAAGTTGAAGTTCTTCATGAATTGTTCATAAAACTCGCTTCGTGTATCAGCAACGAAAAACTTATAACCAAAGTTACTAGACTTCAAAACTATTACTACTTCTATATTGTTATACTAATTATAGAAATTTTGTGCTTGTGTTATATCGATTTTCGTTTGTTTCAGGAGGATTTGCAATTTATCTTAATCAAGGACACCAAGAGACGCAGTCTTTCGACAGAGCGGGTAATATAGATGTTCAAATTTGTTTTAATACTAAGACAAACATGATCAAATTACATTGTTTATACGTAACTTTTCTCAGATACAATTAATCTAAGATCATGTTAGAGATTTGTAGATTTTTGGATTGTTCGATATGAGAAACGATGGGGCTATAGATTTTGGAGAGTTTGTACACTCTCTCAACATTTTCCACCCAAACTCATCACAAAGAGATAAGGCCATATGTATACTTGACTACTTTAATCAATTTTTTTTGTTTCTCCATGTAACTAATTAAGGTCACATATATTAACTCTAACTCGTTTATAAACAGTTGCATTTCGATTATACGATACTCGTCAGACTGGATTTATTGAGCCAGAAGAGGTAGGTCGTCGTTTCGGAAAAAAAAAACAACAATAGTTAAGTGATTATTAATTGGGAAATTACATTTTTCGGTGTATTCAACTTGGAAAAAATTAAAGGTGAAAGAGATGATAATAGACGTTGTAGAAGAATCAGAACTGATGCTAACCGAAAGTGTCATCGACTCCATTGTGTCTAAGGTACGTAATTAACAAGTGTTAAGGTTTATAATTAACCCGGTTTAACATTTTTAGTCATTTATTTACTAATTTATATCTTGGTAGACATTTGAAGAAGCGGATTGGAAAAAAGATGGGAAAATTGATTTGGAAGAATGGGAGAATTTTGTGACAACCTATCCATCGACGCTCAAAAACATGACAATCCCTTTCTTGAAGTAAGTCACTTGTTATGTTTTTTTCTAAACATATGTATGTTTTCTTCCAACTATATGCAACAAAAAAAACTAGTTTACGAAAAAGATGAACCATCTTCTTTATATTCGCTGATAATTAAATGGGTCATTTGATAAGAATATCTTTCAAGCACCAGCTTTTATATGTGTGTGTGCGGG